TTACATGCATTAAGGAATAAGATACAGAAAATAATGCTGTAACTAAAATCTTATGTATGTTTCTCGATCATGTATTTGCAAATGCCTGGGATTTATCACAGAAAGAAGAAAAGGAAATAGATAATCTCAAAACTGAACTGATTGTCAAGGAAGCAAGGGGAAAAGCAGATCTGTAGCATTCAAACCTCAGGAGAAGAGATGTTTGAAGTACAATTTCATTAGACATCTTGCATATGCATGTTGGAAAAACAACAAAGGTAACATAGAAATTAAATGTTCTAATTGTGGCAGATTGTAATAAAAATCAGTAACATTTCTAGCATTAGGAAGAAAGGTCCAGACTTAAGAGATATACTCTTCACATTTGACATGTAAGAAGTTCAATTATTTGGAAAAATTCATATGGACTGTCATTTTGAAAATATAAAGGAATGAAAAGGTGATCAAGATAAAAAAGGAACACCTGCTTCTTGACAGAGAACGATGGAACAGAATAATGGATTTTGAACTCCAGAACAACGAGCCACATGGTTAACAAACTAGAATATTTTAAATAATGGGAAGAAATAATGGTAGAATTTGGATCAGTGTAAAGAAGTATTTCCATAGAAGCTAAAGCGAAAGTTAAAATAGAGACAAATACTTGAATATTGTTTATGTTCCACACTTGATATAGAATTTATTGTCAGTAAATCTGATAACTGGAGATGGTGATGAAGTAATTTTCAAGGAATATGAAGTAACAGTTCATAAGAACAAAAAAGAAATATTCGTAGGGAAGATATGTAATAATGGACTTTATACTAGCAGAAAAAAACAAAAAGCTGATACAGTGGCACAGAAAATTGGGGAATCCATGTATAGGGAACCTGAAAGAGTTGCTCACTAAAGTATTGGAAATGAAAGTAACGAAAAGAGTACTAAAGACAGGAATTGGAGAATGCAGGATATTTTCGTGAAGCAAAGTAATCGAAGATTCCATTTCGAGAGACAAGAACAAGGTTGAGAAGCCAATTGGAGACAAAACATTCTGAATTATCTTATCTTATAGAGCCAAACACATGGAATAGAAATAGGTATGTGATGATAGTGTTGTATTTTATTAATTTTGTAAGGATTTATGTTATGAAATCAAATACTGAAGCATTACAGAGATTGTTTAATTATGTTGCAGCAGCAGGAGCAAAGTGGAATAACGTACAGATTTAAATGGGATAACGGAACCAGGAGGGTTTACCAGTCGAGAATTCAAGAATTGGTTGAGATAGATAGTAACTATACTAGATTTTACGACACTATATACACCTCAACTGAATGGAAAGGTTTAATCGAATATTACTGAGTAAAACACGAGCACTCCTGTACGACTAAAATAGAAAAGAAATTGTGAACGGAAGCTGTGTATTTTGCAACTTATCTACAGAATAAAAGTTCTGCAACAGCAATGAATACTACTAAATATAGAACGTGAGTAGGAGAAAGATCTCACATATGAATTACACGTTTTTTGAGAAGCTAATATTCCTCGACATCTGAAAGTAATAAAGCAATTTTGTTTGCAGATTCGTTTCAAGGAACGTAATCTCTGCAAGAATTACGCAATGAATATTACACATTAAGTTTTGTTTTGTACAGTATAGTTAAATAAATGATACAGTATATTCTTTGTACCAAGAGTTTAATTCATTTTAATATTGGAATTGCCAATGAGGTCTCATGCATAAAATATTGCAAATTTATAGTTGTTCTATCAAAAGTTACTATTGATTTTATTGAGATAGGAAGAAAATTATACATACTTATTTCTTTTATGCATTTGACGCCTTTAGTAATTCTGTATAAATTAATTCCTTTTTAATTAATTAATTTGTAATAATTATTGCACAGAGGATGTGATGCAACTGTAAAAATTCATGAATTGATTACTGAAATTCAGGATTTGTTAATTTTCCAATGTCGAATTAATTTATTGGGATAATAATCGATTCAAATTCACGCGCCTTCAATCAGCGCCATCTATGATATAAATGGCTCTGATGACAATATACTAACTCTGGTTATGTGCTCCGAATATATTTTAATAAATCAAATCGGCAGCGAAAAATTCACTAATTACTCAATATCTGTGATTAATTTATGAACTTTTATAATTCCATCGTAAAGTCAGATCCTTGAAGAACTTTCACATATATTTTTCAATATAAATTTGTCCCTAATTAATTAATTATTAATAATTATTCTACGCAGTGTTTGAATTTTTTCCGGATATAGCAATAGTTTTTCATTAATTACTATCCTCTACGCAATTAACTTATGAAGCTTTATGCACTCATTATAAAAGCAATGTTTTTGCGAATCTTCTCATATCACTTTTATTCACATTTTGATTCTAGTTTCGGTGAGTATTATATTTTTTCACGGAAGATTGTGATGGTCGCCGTTAGGAAATCATAAACGCCATCAAACAAAAATTAATAACTAACAATTTAGAGTTAAATTCTTGACGAAAATTATATAAGAATGTAGCCTGAAGTTCCAGCGTTGCAATGAAATTATAAAAGTTCACAAATTGTTTACGAAAATTGAGTAATTAATAATTTTTCACTGTCGGTGCCCTTCTATTCTTTTCTATCCCCACTCTGTCCTTGTCTATCACGTGACCAGAGCTTCGGCGACATCCTTGCCTATTCTATATTCCTATCACTTTCTTGATTTTTGAGCTCAAATCATAGATGGCGCTAATCGCAGGCGGTAAAATTTTTATTTATTCGAAAGTAGAAAATTAATAAATTTCCAACTTTTTTAATTAATTCATGAGCATTTGTAACTGCACAGCAAAGATGGAATTATAGGCAACATTCTTATACAATGTTTAATTTAATAATTAGTTAGTATTAAATAAGATTGCTATAGAAAACTGTTTTTCTTGCATAATATTTTTATTATTTTGTAATAAATATACACTAGCATAAGAAAGCGTAAAAAATAAATTTTTTCATTGTGAAATTTTATTTACAATTGTTTATTAACAATGTTTTCATAGGTGAAAAATTAATACAAAATAAAAAATAGATTGAAAAAAAATAACTTATGGACCGGACTCGTACTCCGGTCCTCGATCATAGAAATTCTCGACTACCTCCGTTAGGCTACAACTCAAACTAGAAACTATTGAAAATAAAGCTGTATTGGCCATGCAATAAAACTTTAATCGTAAATATCTCAAAAACTATTGAATAGTTGCGGCTATAATGATATATTTTCTTAAACTGTATGGCGATATCTACAAACCTGCAAAGTTTCAAATAAATCGGTGACTCGAAGGACTTGCACTCTCCTTGTAAGACAGTCCATCAGTCGAAGAATGTCCAAAGTCTAAGAGTTTTCAGTTGAAGACATTGTGTTAAAGTCTAATGTCAGTTTATAAGAGTCAGTTTATCCCTTTCACTACGGTAGGCCCCGACACGGAGTCTCTCTCGTAGAAGCGTTGTGCCAAAAATGGAAACATTACGAACCGACAGTTTTTAGTATTCGAGGCCAAATCTTTTGAAGAAAAAAGAAAAAGAAAAAGAAAAACCGACTATCGTAATAGTGCTTGCAATTCTTTGCAATGAGAGCTAAATGGAACGGTAGCACTTGTCTTACTTTTTGGCTCAATTTTTGTGGTCGGTGACTATAGCCACCCGTAGTAGCAAAAGGTACTCTATTTATAAGCTTATTTTATTCCATTAAGAAGCCAACAATACTATCTTAAGTCAATCCATCCAAAATCCAATCCCACATATACATTAAAATCTGTGTCAACCATTACCACAGGTAGTACTACCGTTTCTGGGACACCCTGTATTTGATCAGTCTCATTTTCACATACTTCAACTCATTTTTGGCAATTTTCCCATCGTCACTTGGCAAAGTGATAAAGGAATATTTTGTTCCTTAGAGGATGCTCTTAAAGGTCCCGAAGGAATTTTTCATTTCCAGGTATTGTCAAAGATGACCTTTCTTTAACACTAGAACTATCGATCTTTAATAGGTACCTAACTATAACGTGCACAGATTATAGTAATTTCAGCGGTACGATGAATATGAGTGAATATATTGATTACAGTTCTTTCTTAATACGAGTTGATACCAATTTTATTCTTAAAGCAAGTGTATGTGTTCGGTGATTGCAAAAAGGAAAATTCTGGGACTGGGTTAGTAGTTCTAGTGTTAACACGTTGACCACCAACTACGAGATATCTCGTGGGTTGTTTCCTTGCCCAGGACGTCTACTACGAATTATCTCGTCCCTTCATTATTTGCCATATTTGTACAGCTACGAGGAAACCCGTAGTATAACTGTAGTATAATTCAAAAAGAAAAAGTTTATACAAGTTTATTCATGCAGAATAACATTTTTATGGTTTGTGATAATTCTTAAAACAATCTTGCATGCCAACTATGAGATAATTCGTAACATGTTTTTTTCTTAAAAACAAATATTTTTTAAGCTTTCTGATTATTACTATTGTAGGATACCATTTTCAAGGAAGTTGTGAGTCGGCTGTTGCCAACAAAAACAAGTCATAAACCGATCAACATTTTCTAGAAGCAAATGGAAAAGTTATTTTGGGTAACAAAATTAAGTTGCGTGGTCCCTACGTGGAGATGAAGCGTAGGTTAAGGAAAGCATAAAAGCGTGGTCCTTGACAACCAAAACAGAGTCCTTAGAAATCGGTTGTGACCAGCACAAGCGTGAATCGCTTGATGTTGGAAAGAAAGTTTTAAAAGAGTGCGTCTTTGTGTTTTCATTTCGTTATCTTGGTGTTCTTTTGCTAAGTTAAATCAGTATACGAGTTTTGAGTTTGTGTTATTGTGTTCTTGTTCTTTCAACAATTTTCGGTGTCTCAAGACCAGTATTCGCCATCCTACATTATGTATTATAAATAAAGTTTTTGATAATACATGATTAAATCAAATTTTCTTCTTAGACCGGAATCGTGAAAAGTTGCGTGGCAGTGAACGTGTTAACATCCTCCTTTAGGCATTTAGCATAGCAATAGTTACTATCATCTCGCACTCGTCGTTCAGATTATTAAATCAAAACAAGGTTAATATCAGCCTCCCGAGTGCACAGGGTTAAATGAAACATTACCAAACATTACCGGAAGCTGCATCGTCCCGATGACGATTGCCATGATTAGACCTCCTTCTTCGTCTTTTCTTCAGTCGCCTTTTATTCTCCTTCAGATCCAGCGACGACAACTTGTAATTCGTCACCGTAATATTCTTCGCGTTCAAAGAGAGCTTATCCAAACCGACCGTGCCGTTTACTTGGAAATCGATAATCACGCGGCCTATCAGTATCGATGGACCTCCAATATCGATAATCGGCGTTAATTCTAGACGATACTTCAACGGATGAACGAAAGGAGAAACCACATTTTCTCCAACAACGTCGGTGTCCTCGATCTCATCGTTCAGCAGATCTAATGTCTCATACGGCTAGAAAAATATAAATTTTGTTTAATATTAGATTTATATAAAAATTGGATTAATCTATTATTGCAGGAGATAATTAAAGCAATTGATGAAAGATGTACAATAACATTGTGAGTTACAGAAATTTGTCCTATAGAGATGCTAATGCAGTTTTAGTTTATAAATCATGTATAAATTGTCAAATTAATTATTAATAACAAATTAATATTGTTAATAATGAATTGTTCACGATGTACATTTATAATAAAAGTAAAGAATTAATAAATTATTGGCCAATTATTTAAACTTATAAAGTACTTGTGTTAAGTACCTGTAATTTGCAAGAAATTTATAAATTATTACATTAATAGTTAATAGCAAATTATTCGCAGCTTAAATTTATAATAAAAGTGAACAAATTAATAAGTTACTGGTTATTACTTGAACTTTTAATGTACTAATGTTAAAATGCACCTATAATTTGCAAAAGGTTTATAAATTATTACACTTATTGTTAATAACAAATCAATATTGTTAATAAGAAATTATCCGCAATGTGAATTTATAATGAAAATAAGAAAATTTAATCTTTCCAACTGCATTCATTCTCATCAATAATGAAAAAATGATTGTTGTTCAGTTTTGCAATATCTCTGTCATTTCATTTTATTTTCATTTATTGTTAAATAACATCGTTCTTAATAGAAAAATTTTAAACAATTTACTATGAAGTAATATTTAATGAACATTTTATGCGACATTAATAAATAAATAAATTCTTTCATTTTTATAAATATTCATTTCTACAAGTACACTATTTGTCAAATTAAATTCAACGAATAGTATAATAAAATTTAATTTATATGCAATTCATACAAAAGTTTAATTTTGCGTTACACCTAAACTATACGTTGCGTTAAATATAATTAATTTAATTGCAATTAGTTAATTAATGTTCAATAATATGCACAGCACATGATTATCGGAAAACTATAATTTAATATGCTTGGGTTACCGAATTATCCCCTGAAATTATGCAATTAATAATTGATTCCTGATACTTACAAATCTAGTGATTTATTTATGTACTATATTAATATACCTATAATTATTTATGTAATTATTTTATATAAGTATTTTATTAATCATTATTATAATAAAATATTGGTTACATATTTATCTGAAATTTTCGTCTTATCCACTGCCATAAGATACCGTACCAATTTTTCCACACTTCGAAATTAATACGAAAAATTTTAAGTGACTATGATAGTAAAATAGGTCGATCGATAATTTTATGTTACACTTATAGTTATTACACTCACATTTATATAAATAAATGCGACATGTGAACATAGATCTCCTAAAGAAATTTTCTTTTCTCTGACGATGGATTTATGAATGATTTAATGAAATCAATTTCGTGATCCTTTCATTTTCGTGTTACTTACTTTCTTTTTTGGTAAAGAATTGATGTACCATCCAAGAAATCCCGCGGCAACGACGCCGATAACAAAAACTACGACGATCCCTGCTATCTTTGTGTACGATAAGAACCAACCATCGCCCCTTTTACACTCGATGTCATCGCTAGTCATAAATTCCACCGGACCACCGCTGAATTGTGGCATACTTTGAGCTACAAGAATTATTTCATAACGTAAATCTTTGGAAAATATCAAAATATACCAAATCAATAAAACATAATATATAATATACGACTGTATATGTTAACATACAGTAATTTCATAGAGTACAAATAATTTAAGTAAATGTAATTTTTATTTTAATTGTAATTATGGTATTCTATAGTGTTAATCAATTGTTTGAAATTTGAAAACTCGGGTGAAATTTGAATTTTTCATTTAAGCTATGTACGTGCCTGACATAATTATTCATTCACAATAGCTTAACTGTTTCTAAAATCGTAGAAATTTTATTTTAAAAGAATTATTTTCGAATTTTGAATTATTTACGAAATTAATAAAAGATTCTGCTCAGGAATTAATTTGTTGAACGCTGCTAAAGTACTTATGAAAGTACTTAGAAGTATTTAGTACAGTAAAGTTCATTAGATTTTCTGAAATTGTACGAATGCTGATAATGTATACATATTTACATGTTTGATACTAATAAACATCGTTAATGAACATCGTAATATTAAATAAATGCAATTATTGAGTATGATTTGAAAAACTATAACATAAAGGAAAAATATTTAGTAAATATTTTATTTCCATTGCTAATTAAGAGATAGAACTAAAAATTTAGTTGAGAAAAGAACTTATTCTATATATCTCAATTTATTTTCTGAAATAGAAAATAAATAGAAAATAGATTGTTTTTCTACATCTCGGTCTATTTTCTTTAAAAATTACATTACATTCGAGCTATACGATAAATAAATTCAAAAAGATAGAATCAGATTGAAAATAAATAAATGAAAATTTGAGCAAAAATTAAAAATATTAAGATTGCAAAAATGCACAAAGTGTAACATTTTCTAGGAATTCCCAATCGCATGATTTAAAAACAGAGAATTTAAATTTCATAAAGTGTATATATATATTGTGCATAGCATCTCTGCAATTATAGAGGAATGTATACACTTTTAGTATTTCCGTATGCATAATTAATTATAAAGAGAATAAAAAAACGCAACATTAATCATATTTTCGTAGAATGTAAACGTATTTACATTCCAAGAAAACTGTTAATCAACCGACATATTTATAAATATTCATAATTAGATAATTATACTATCTACTTAGACCTGTTATTAAAACTCCTCGTCAAAATTTTTCTTAAAAACACGATATATTTTTCAAGAAATATTAAAAACAAAATAAAATGTATATATTAAAAATAACAAATTAACTAAGAAATATTTATCATGTTTATTTCATTTTTGTTAATTATTTATTCAATTCTTCTAGTAATGTATACATTTAATAACACTATGCAAACGAACATTAAAATATTAAGATGTAATTAGAAGTGTAATCTTGAAGTATAATTTGTGTACCTATCTTATCATTTTAAGTGTCAATTTTCTCATTTCTTCTCACTGTACTGATTATTTTGTTCAATCAAATACAATGATCTGCAAGAAATACAAACATTCTTTAAAAAAACGAAACACGCGTAAATACGTGCTCACCAGTCATGAAAACATCATGAAATAAAATACTAGAATTATTCCAAAACTCCTTATACATTTATACATTTTTCTATATATAATACTTGGGCACTGTGTTCTACGAATAAAAATAAGACTCAAAATATCATGTAATAAAAAGTTCACAAATGTTTTCTTAAGAAGATATAACAAAAATACGAAATGTAAAACGAATGGTAATGCTGTTTTTCTTAGTCCAACACATGGCAAAACGAGATAATATCTTTGTTAACTAATATAACACCGTTTTATTAAAAAAACCTAATTGAAATTAACGATAAATTTATCAGCACGTCGATATTAAATTTATCTCAGCAAAGATAGGAGGCACTCTGAAATGGAAACATAGGTATTAAGCAACGTTCGTACCGCATTTGGTATTTGTATAATAATTTCTTACCGAAGAGTTTGTGAACTTTCTGTTATGCAACACTTTAGACTGATTTCTACGTATCGGGCACGCGTGCATTCAGAAAAATACGAAATACCCTACATAGCTTAATCCATTCTAAATATTGGAAAAACAAGCAATTAAAAATCATGAAATTAAATTCTATACTAGGAAAGAATTTATAACCTTAAAAACATCCTGCGCATCCATAAGAGTTTTATGCTTGAAATTTGCATTCAGTGGTCGTGGGTTATCCAATAAATCGATATTCAGAAATAGGAACGAGAATACGGAATAACATCGACGTTGTCATAATCGTGACGAATTCACGTTATCATAGCATTCAGGCGAACGTGACGTGACGTCGTTGAAATTGATTTCTCGTGGCACACAAGCGCCACAGGTAGGTCGACGTGCATACTACTGTATACTCGTAAATACGATCGAGAAACCGCTTCTCAAGGTCTGCCGAGTACACAAATTACCGACTAGCTATTAACTTTACCATTCGCGTAATCGTTTACCAACCGATGACGCTCGCCTCGCTACAATTTCCCATGCATTGACACTAACAATGCAAAGAATTCTGCTTGAAGTCACGAACCGACATTTTTCAACCGAATGTTTTCTTTCAATGCCTTATCGACTGAGATAACTGAGAAACTATATTAGAGGCTTATTTTATTCATGAAAATCCACGGTGAGCGATGAAATTAAGAATTACAGCTGCATCCTAATTGGGAATATTAACGAGTAGTAAGAGGAAGATTGAACATTCAGATTTTTATGTTCTACTATGAATGAATTTTAATTTTTTCTTTCGCTTTTATCAATTCTGAAGTTTTCGTGAATTTTTACTTTTACGTGTACAATAGACCAATTCATGCTCTGAAGGTTATAGCAATATTGTTTGTGTTTGAAAAGTATCAGTTACAATTATAATACTCGAGTTTAAAATTCTATAACAGTCATTTTTCTAATATGATATTTTCATATAACTGTCTATGGTGTCTAAAAATTGTACACGTTAATCAGTTTTAGAAGAATTTTCTTTTTTACACTGTGTATACTTTCATACAAGTTATTGTAGCGTTTATTGTTTCATATTTATGACATTAATCTTCAAACACCGATTATTTAAGAAATCTATTATTAAAGCATATTTGAGTGTGCATACATTACTTTTAATACATACATTGGAGTTATCGACATCGCACTGCATATCTTAATACGTACAGTCGAATACAAAAATATTCAGCAACCGAGTAATTCTTACTTGTTAGTTAATAAATATAATTTTTCTTTCAAACTATTAAACCATTGGTATAGAGTAAGATAACAAATGTTTATTAAAAATACACTTCGAGGTATTTTTATCTCCACTGTTATATAATTTTCTATATTATATATACCGAATTCCTAAAGTAAACTGATATTTTTGTAACTGTTTATAATTTATAACTTATATTTAAACAATTTAAAACCTATTTCCAAAACAAAAATGGTAAATATATCATTTACAAAATTAGAAAATATAGTATTATAGAATACTTTTATAGTAAGCTACTATATATATAAATACACGTATTTAAATCGTATCCAAACATTTTATAGGTGTCGCTACTCCATTACTATTTCCCGTAACATTTTTGCAAAACCAAAAAGAGAAACAAAATATTAAAAATAAATAAAAATATGAGCTTCGACTAACCACGAAATAAAATTGAGGTTATATCAAACTGTGAGTAAATATTTTAATATTATTTTACCATACATATTCTTTTGTTGCAAAAGAAAATTATAAGATGCAATAGAATAAATTTATTTTGCCTTATATCGTAGGAACATTTACTTTTCAAGCAAGATTCACAGTATTATAATGTTTGTTAATTATGCAATCGATATAAGACCCGGTATAATTTCAAGGTCACCGTAAAAAATTCTTTTCCATCTTCTCATTTACTATGATTATGTATATAGCAATTATAAGCAGTATTCTGTATATCATTGTCAGAAGTATTAATCAACCTATAGTCAAGTCCGTTGACACACAACTCGATCAGATATTCAACGATATTATAACATTCAGTTTACAAGAATGCGAGTAGCTATCGTAATACCATGAACAATGCACGTGTTGCATGCTTCACTTCAAGTTAATATATATAATCTCGAGTACTGTGAGTGATACTAGCAGACAGCATCAAGTACTGTGTCTTGAATATCACTTTACAGTATTTTGAATAGTGCTTCGAGTGTACGTTTGATTCTTAATTAGTATTGGATTCGAATAGAATATTGTTGTAATCGATGATTTAGCTATAGTTTAATTGTATCCTCCATAAATGTTCAATTTTATTATTCGATAAATTCACATTTAATGAAATAATATATCTATTTTTGTTATTTCTATTATTTATACAACGGCCAGTATTTAAAACAATGGAATATAGATGACAATGGTATATGAAGAAAATATTTGTACTACCAGATTAAAATGCATTATCTCGAGGAAAATGTACTGAGTGAAAAAATAAATATTTCAGTTCACTAATTGAAGGCCTTAAAACACTTTTGGTAATTCATAAGGTTATTTCTGCGCTTTCTTCAATTTATCTATAAGTAGTCACTTAAATAATTTTCCAAATATTTTTTGAACACCTAAAAAATATATTTCCAAAACTTTAAATTTTTCAAATTTAGTTACATAAAAACCGACTTTTTTAATCTTTAATTTTAATGCAACTACCTCTTTATGCTATCTAACTAGGTTACAAGCTAGTTATGATACATTGTAAGCCACACAGGTCTCTATATATAAGATAAGCATTTTGCCCATTGTTGGTTAGGAAAGAATTAAACACGTCTTATGCAGCTTGTTTTACCACAAGATTTTCACTATGGTATTACCAAGTAACATTTATGACTTACAAACAATAGACCTATAAATTTAAAAGAGCAATGCTTTTGGTATAATTTTATTCACTATTTGAAAAATATTGATTATTCCTATCTTTTTGTTCATGAAAAAACAGAGTAAAGAAAGGATTAATTATAATTAATTTCGACGATTAACCAATAAATTGGAACAAAATTTTTGGTTACATAACCTTACAAAATATATATATACATGTATTCTGTCACTATTAAGAAAAGGATTTCTACAATCAACGAGAAAAAAATGTTAAAACTGGAACAAAATTTTTGGTTACATAACCTTACAAAATATATACACACACGTATCCTGTTACTACTAATAAAAGAATTTCTGCAATCGACGAAAAAATAGCGATAAAGCGCAAATTTTGGTAAGTAAACAAGTTGATAAACAGGAAACTTCGAAGTAATTCACACAAACTGTGTGGCAATTGTGTTACGAAGAACAGGTTAGTACAACATTAGTCACACAAGATTAATTTGACATGTGGCAGCGTAGATTAATATAACCTACGCCACAATATGGCTAAAGTGTTTGATACCCTACGTTTAGCATTTGTATTAAGTTCACTTGTTCACTGAAGTATCGAACAATTTTAGTTTTCTAAACTAGCAAATGCACTATACGACCTAGTCCTAATCATTACGAGCAGCCATAAATGCGAACGTAAATCAAGCCTTTAAATTCCGGAATTGCGATTAGTAATACATTCCTCCTTCACCAGTTGATTTCTACAGTTATTAGTTTATTTGATAATTGTAAGCATTTCACACTTATCTACGTAATTATATGTAATTTTATAAATCGTTATTTCATTCCTGATATTTAATATTTTCTTATTCCAAATATAACCAACAAAATCTGTGGACACTTGAAAAAGTATTAAAAATATCTTATACCATACAGCAATGACGAAATCAAAGGACAATTTCATTATCCACTATTTCAAGTACCATATCATATTAACAGGTTTTGATAAAACTGGAAATTCTGGATCGCTATTACCATTGGTTGGTACGAATAGAAGACACGTGACGAAAAGAAATTCATGCTTTCGTGCAATATTGAATTATTTCAGTTAAAAATATATTAGCAACGATAGCACACGCGACGTGGTCGAAGGTTACTATACTGCTTCACAGGATTACGTATATGAATAGGACGTGTAGTTTTTCACGGCAATATATGCTATGAGATTGTGTTACATGTTATGTCACGTGGTACGTGATCAACCTGTAAACAACCAAAACTCGAAATCTCCCTGACCCGTGTTCACTTAGTCATTCATCGCTGTTTAATAAACTGCAAATGGCAAAACTCTGAAAACGTCACTGAAGTCAACGTGATATATTATTCGAAAAATAGTATATACAAATTGTGTTTATAAATTAAAACTGTAGATTACATTATTTCGCCAAGAATTTTATCCTAACCTTAATTCGTGACGTTTCGATTGTTTGATTATTATCGAATTAATAGGTTATGTAATGTTTCGAGCTGTCATTGAATTATTACTCGAAATAAAAGTGACGACATTTCCACATTTTGAAGAGAAACACTTACAAACATACACTTATGGTTATCACAGACATAAAGTGTGGTAAAATAAAGTGTTCAAAAATATTTTAGAAATTAAAATGAGACGTAAGTTAAAGTATCACGGAAATATAACTTAAATAGATTAATACTATCTTTACATACGTATTTAATATACATAATTCGCGTGTATGATTTAGATTTTAATTTTTATTTCGAAGATTGCTTAAAAACTAACAAATAAGTTAAACGTAAGTCTGGTTAGATTTTCAAGAAAATAATTTTACAACTACCGTAATGATTCGTTCGATTATTTTTCAAAATAAAATATACATCCAATAATAAAATTTCAAAATATTTTAGGGAACACATTGAAGATACGACCATATCGTATATCAAAGCACTTTGACGTTTGATACACATGAAAATACGCATTATACCGCTTCTACATTGACGAGCACGTGGACCAAATACAACTGTGTCAAAATAACTGCAATCGTACGTTTCCTTTTAAGATTATATGTGATTTCCTTTATGCATTATTAACCAGACTTTTCCTAATTATTAATTTTCCAAAACAGAGACACAATTTATTTGGAATTCAGTATGAAGAGGAAGCAAAATTGTCATTCACTTCGTACGGAACGGAATTTTTAATAAATGCCATATATCAACATCGGTTACGCTTCAGAGACACGAACGTCTCTAGGAATCAAGCAATTACTATTGTGGAAAACAGTAAGAGAAGTTTTCGCGATTCTTGCTAATGTTCATGACATTACAGGAACACGCTCAAGTGATCGTATCTCAGGAAGCCGTGGGACTTTAATGGAGTATTCGTGGTTAGCGATAAAACAAAATAGTCGCAGTGCAAACAGCGCTTTAAGTGACCGTTATGCGAATTATTTTTGGCAGTGAATAAGATAGGAACTATGCATGGTAACTCTGTTGTGTAATTTGTTTGATAATACTATTATGTGACCCATTGAGTTTATAAAGGATATTTTGACGTGATTATTTAACGCGTTCGATATTAAATGTTAGGGAATTATTAAAAAACCTATTATTGTACGATTAATGTGTTTCCTATAAATACTACACGACAAATTGAATCGATTTTATTTTTATTTTTCCTTTAAATAACCATTCTAACATTCGTTTAGAAATAAATGTAACATTTTGTTTGGCTCAAATATGAAACTTTTCGAGGCTGTCATGCATTGTTATCTGCCCATTAACAAACCTGTTTTTCCTTCATTTATTCATTTACACTCATTGTTGCGACTTTTCCATTCGTTAAAAACCCGTTAATTAATATAAAGGTTTTCCCCATACGTATTACGCGAGTTTGCGTAAACGTTATTAAACGAACAAGTACAATCATCGAGACTTCTCCTTAAATTCTCAATTACCTGATGATGGATTTCAACAATTACCAGGTAATGAATGGTAATAAAAAATCCCATCAACAAATACTTTCTTAATGAGCATAAACAAGAATAAACCCACGAATTAAGAATGACAAACCACAATTTGTAATAAGTAATTTAACATGTCCTAAATTACTAAATAATTACTCTGAACAATGATATAAAATTAATTAAAATTACCTATAATATATGTTAGACACATCTAATCCTATTTCACAATTTTTCATTCAAAAATTAGATACTATACAACATATTTTGAAATAAATAATAAATAAATACAACATTAACTAAAATAAATTATAGCATATTTTACACATACTGTATTTATTATTCATTTAACTACTGAATTATAAACAAATAATCTGACATTACAGGTATCCTAAAAACATTTCTCACAATCAGTCGTACTAAACAATTATTAATTAAAAAACCACAGAGAGGAATACACATTTGCCACACTTTTACTAGTTCGTATTTTCACCACCCCAATATTAAATAACGAAAATATAACAGTAATACTAAAAAATTGTTAAATCATAAATTATAAGTTATTGTGAATAATTTGACTGGAGACTGGCTGAAAATATAAGAAATACGAAATGAAAAGGAAAAATTGAAGCACTTACAACTTCTGCGTCCATAGTCCTGCCAACTGGAAATAGATCCTCGGCTCATGTGAACAGTTTCCGGTTTCTTCGATCTAGAAATCCAACGATCGCGTGCGAAAATGAATCGGTCACGTGGCTGTAAGAACGCGAGAGTGAAGATCTGTGGCGAAAAGATTCTTCTCAAAATGTTAGACCTGCGTCCACGATGGCGCGACTCGTTCGTACAGGTGCAACGCAATTAGTCGTTCTACCTACAATGCAATACGTGAATGCTGGTCAGCACTCCGAATGCAATTTGTACCCCCCACTTTTTTCAATCGCTGCCTCGGCATCGCTTCATTCCTTATGCCGTATGTAATCCTTTGCTCTTCTTGTTTCCCGTTTCCTTAACGTTACGTCTGCCACATCTTACTTCTAATGGAGAAAAATTCTGAAAAAGAGACGTTAAAAGTTCGTAATAGTATATCTAAGTGTATTTCAAGATAGCATTACTGTCCATGTTCTTAATAGTATGTGTTTGTAAATGTTCCTGTTGTTATCAGAAATAAGTGGATAATGATTTTTATACGATTGAAATTCGAATTTGGAGTTTACGAAATTTTTGAAACTCGAGAAGTTAGTTTTGACGAAAATATCTTCGTTTATGTTTTCCTTTTTTTAATTTTTTGAAGAAGGAATCACGCAAATCATTTTTAAAGAAATATTCTTTGGAAAAGTTAGAAGTTTGATTAGGAATTGATGGATAATTGTTTATTGAACTTTGAAAATTAGATTCATTTTAAGAAGTTAAATCAATAGAATGTAAGAATTAAAAAATTAAAAATTAATGAAATCTGGTAATAAATTTATGATAAAATAATGCGTTATATCAATAAAATTTGGACTCAGCTAAAAGATACATTATACAATGAAATATCTGTTTCTTATAAACTATAATGAATAGATCACAAAGAAATGCTTAAAATTCGGACAATTATAGTGTCAAAATATAAACATCAATTCTGCAAATGCAATATTGCAATATCGAATGTCAAACCATTAGATCGATATTAACCATTTGAATGACTGTCATACTTTCTCAGCACCGCCATTACGAAATGAAATTCTAGCTCAAAAATAAAGACAAGAAAAACTATTTCACCTAAAATAAATAAAAATAACAAATAGAATCATAATAAAAAAGTTAATATCTAAAAACAAAGTAGAAATAAAAATATTTTACAACGCAGAAAATACCACAGCCGAACTTCAATAATCGCAGGAATTTATTCGCAACATCACATAATCTAAACAAAAACAGCACCTATGCCTCATACACGCGACACGATCAAAACCGATTAGAATAACGATTGCATCGCTGCTCCAGATAATTCGACGAGGCTCAATCAAAAGGGGCCGCCAGTCGGTGGCTTCCTCTCGGATGCCAATCGTGGAGCACCCTGGAAGTTGAAGAAAACACGTCGACAAGTGGCACGAATGGCCTAGCTGTCCCATAAACGCGCGAAGAAGAAAACGCATACGACAACAAGACCCGCTATCAGCCCTAATTGACACCGAATCGGAAACGAACGTCGAGCCCAGACCTGAATTGGCGGCTTTTCAAACATTAAACGAATACACAATGGTTTCTGGTTGCAGAATCAGTGCCAGACCCCGAAGAGATTCACGGAGTAGCTCGTGGCATCTCAATTTCCATTGATGCTTTCGGGATTGGCCATTGACGCTACGCTTCTCATCCGTCACCGACGGGTACCGTCGTGATTAGACCCTTTTGTGACGTCTGCCCGATGGAATTGGATAATGGACGATCCACCGATTACGCGGCTAAGTGGATCTAAGCGCTTTGAATCCGTGCTTTGGACACCAATCCTTCACCGGGTACCCCCTATCACGTGGGTGTTCACGTTTTCTCTACTCCCTAGTCGTACACATTTTTACACTTGCATCTTTTTCGTTTCTTTCTTAGCGAATTGCCTGGATGGTCCAGCTGGAAAGAGCAGAAAGCTGGAGGGCTAGTTCGCGAACGTTCGCGTTCCAACGTGGTCCTTTGGCACTTGGAGAATATTGGCTGCTGGTATCAAGGTCAAGCGACGGGAGTCAAGGGATTGATCGACGTGGTCGTGGGTGATCTTTCGAAATACACGAATTGCTTCGGTTAGATCGTTGTCCACCGCATGCAAGTACGGACGTGTTGGATGAGGATCGCGAAGTAAGTCGCTGTGCAGTATCGATGATAGTCGAACGTTCAAGGCATATGGCTACTGTGCAGTTCGACTATCCATGGGTACCAGTGTCTTGATAAACTTAATCGAGTGATATCGAGGAAAAATATGCCAAGTGGAAAGAACGTCCATGTGTCTATTTAATATTCGTCGATGATGATCTGTAGAATACAGAAAAGAATAACGATAGAGGATAATTGTCGAGGCAGTCCGTTCATGTTCCATTTGATCCAACTATCTACGTGAACTATCAGTTTTGTTTCGGTTCTGATGATGATCTGTAGAATACAGAAAAGAATAACGATAGAGGATAATTGTCGAGGCAGTCCGTTCCATTTGATCCAACTATCTACGTGAACTATCAGTTTTGTTTCGGTTGAATAGTTTTTAACAAATTCACTGGCTGAGATTCCACAGAATAATCGTTTCGACTTGCTCCGCAGGAAGACTATGAGGTGGATAGCAGCTGTCGCTGGGTTTTTCCTGGTTTTCACTTTTCCACAGGATGTATGTAATCCAGATTTATTGTTATTAATGTTAATAATACGATAATACTTTGGATAGATGTCAGGCGAGTATTCTATTAGATTATTCGGAGATAATTCGCGGGTTACCTGTGATATAGCACCTACAATACGCGGTGTGACAGAGAAAAAAGAGAGAGAGAGAGAGAGAGAGAGAGAGAGAGAGAGAGAGATGACAGTATGCTGGCGGATGGATGTAAAGAACTAATTTGTAAGTTAAAATATGGAGAATGTGAATGTGTGGATATTGTGTCCATTTCTGTCCATTTCTGGGTCTAAGGGCTGAAATTAATAAATATATATAATTATAATTAATAAATATATATTTATAAATATATATGTGTTGGAGAAAAAACTGGATTATGCTTCTAAAAATTCTCCGAATCAATGAACGTAGATTTACCTTTTGTGTTTTTCAAAGTGAAATTCGAATTTTTGTAAATAACTCTCAGGACTGCTACCCCTATAATGAGTTTGAAATTGGTACTTCAAAGAATGGACAAACCCGTGAACATACTCTGCTCTGCTCGCTTTTACTCTCGGTGTAGAACGGTTAATTATTGGTGTTAATTACTGGTGCCTGAGTGTGCAGTATTAACTTTCGCAGCTAGTACTGACGAGTTTGGTGCTGGTATTTCAAATGCTATCCCTGTAATGTATAATCTCTCGTGTTATATAGGGTCCTATTATAAAGATATTAATCTTGTTATTAATGTAGAAGTATATTCGCACATGAGAAAACAAATGAGACTGAAAATACAGTAGAATCTCCATTATCTGAACACTCTATCATCCGAACCCTCTATTATCCTTTACGAATCTTTCTTTATCTAAATAAATTTACAATAGAATAGCTCTGTGATAACGTTGACGCGATAGAACAGTTTAAATGCGATGAAACTTTTTTAATTGATCATGTTCGTATCATAGTGTTCTGTCTGTTTCGAATAATGGAGTAGAACATGAATTTAACGACGATACTGATTTTTAAGCACTTGAAACTGTACAAATGGGGCTAAGATGATATGAAACATCGAGAAGCAACGTAATTTTACTGAATTAAATTTTCCAAGAAAATTATGTCACTTAGCAGCTAAGAAAATTTGGGACCCATACGTTTTCATTGCTTATGCCATTTATTATTGCTATTATTGCTATTTTAATAAAATTTTAATATAAAATATGTATAATTTAATTTTATATTAAAATATAATTTTAATATAAAAATTTAAATCAAAAAGGTACGTATTCTGTTATCCGAAAATTCGGCCATCCCAACACCTACACGTGTCCCCAAATTAATTCGGATGATCGAGATTTCACTGTATTTCGTAAAATATTTCATACGACAGAGATGCAGCGATAAGAGAAGAGAAATTCATAGTGATTCACTTCGCAGGTGTTAGGGAAATTAAAACGGAGTATAGACCTGAGAGACATCGAATACTTCAAAATAAGCCAGGCTAGAGTAGCACCGGAAGTAATACCAACCAGCTACCATCTGGAGCTTCGACCCTTTATTGGGAATGATCAATTCAAAGGTCGTGTTAAAATCAATGTCACCTGGACGAATAGCAGTGACACGATCATGCTCAACGTTGATCCAAATCTTATGGTCTTGAAGTACAACGTTAGGATCACGGAAGCGTCGTTCATGGAAAGGTAAGTCAACGAAATCCTGTGAATCAAAAGCTATTAATTACGTTAATTATCACATTACTACATACAACTATTATGCGTTGCTATATATACAGGGTGAGCCATCTAACGCGATCGTTTCGATTATTTCCAATTATTTAAACACTGAAGAATCGAAAACTCGATTTGTCGTAAATGGTAGCCCATAAAATTATTCGTGATAACCACATTTGATTTTCACGAAATTAACTATAATATGAAAAACACAGGAATTTAATTTATCACATTCAATGAAGGTGGTCCACTCTGTATACCAAATTACACTATGTACGATGTTACTATATAATATAGTTACTATTTATACTACAATGTTATTACAATGTTACAATTTCTTCATTTTCCATCCACCGGTCATTTAGTAAACTTAGCGTTTTACAATTGAAGACAAGTAGAAATTGTAAATTTTATTTTATTTTTCATAATTATAAACTTTCCTTATCGTCTATACTACCAGAAAAAGAAAATCAGTCTTCAGATTATTCTTCAAAACTAACATCTGATTGTTAAACGAAAAATAAAAGAGAATTAGGTCTACCACTGATGGATGTGAACGTTGCGAGGGTCAAGGTTCCTACTTCTCGGAAACCTTTGTACTCGATTCACTTGGAACAGATACTGAAGAGCGGCAGCAGCTGCGAAGTAGATATCACCTTCATCGGAAACTTTACCACCGACAAGTCCAGGGGTTTCTTCAAAAACGAATACACCGACAACAATGGAAAAAAACAGTAATTGCGATTACAGTATATATAGTAAAATTTTGATCAGTGGCGTAGCCACAGCTTTTGTTGTCTGAGATAGACCCACGATTTGCCAGTGCTTGCAATAGACCTGAAATATTGCAAGCATCGAACGTGTTAAAAAGCAAATTCACGTCGACAATCGTTACGAGTATAGTTGTTAAAAAACTAATTGAGAATGTTTCCGAAAGAAGAACCTATAAACCAAAATTATAAATCTAGTTATTGGCCTCAGAAATTTCGATTTTAGCTTATTTAATATATAACCTTAATATTGATCTAAATACTTGCAATTGTTAAATATTATACATGGATCGTAATGAATATCGTTGTTCCCAGAAAGTGTACAACATAAATTTGTTGCATATACTGACACCAATTTGAAAATAAACTAATACATTTTAATAATCCTATAACTCTCTGTCATAAACCGAGGAGAAAGAAATAATTGAGTAATAACTCTGCCAGCAATACCTAACATACGTCCAAGAAAAGTAACATATCGGAATAAAATTTTAGAAAAATATTTATAATCATTTTTAATCGTTTTTTATCGAAACATTCTCAATTATTAATCGAGCAATAAAAATTATTAGGTTAAGGTGAATAAAATAATACGTGAAGAAAAATAAAATTGTGGATCATGTGAAAAGTGGCGCCACCTCCTAGTTATCTATGACGTTGATTATTCGAATTAATCTAGGGACAAATCCATTCGGATCCGTACATACCTGCAGAACACATTAATAACCCATTGTTTCGGGGAACAATGAAACAGAAATATATCTAAGATATAAAATTTTACCTTTGACTACGTATTGTAGGTATATATTGTAGTCCTTATATCCGATGAATGTGTATATGCGTCGGTAATCACAAAAGTGGTCCATGTTGAAAATCTGAAGAAAATAATTTCTTCGTTTATTTTCTGTTCCATTCGTTCATATTACAATGAAATAGAACTATTTTTGATAAAATAATGGAAAATTGAGTTGTTATGTTGAATTTTCTCGCTCTGTAGCAATTAATTTTTTAATTTATAACGTATTTGAATTACGAATCTTTTAATATCTCGAAATGAGACACACACGTCAAGACTATATACACTTTACGTTCTGCCTCGAGCTAACAAATCTTCTACAAATACTAATGAGCTAATAAAAAATAAAAAATTCGAGTAATTAACGTACTTGATAATCGATGTTCTATTGTATTGGTTCTGTTTTGCATTATTAATTCTACTAGACTCTGTAAACGATTTTTCTGTATTTTATTAGCATAGGGAAAACGAAAAGAGTTTCATACATAGTTTGTTTTCATCTGTAGTCCCTTCGTGGCTATGACTCTCAGATTGGCTAATGCACACAATGTCTTCCCCTGTATGGACGAACCTCCTTATAAAGCGCCCTTCAAGTTTAGCGTCTTGCGACCAAAGAACATGACTGCCCTTTCAAACACCCCGCTAGAGAGCAGCACTGAAGCGTAAGTGATACAAAATAACGATTTATTTATTTACATCTATTATATCTGTTAAAATATTTCTTCCATTATTCCTTCCTTTTTTCCATTTTTTTTTGTCTACAAGCAACTAGATGAATAAAAATATTGATAGTATTTTTTTAATAACAGATAAAATGAAAAATGAAAAAATCGATGTCTTCAGTTTTATCATTTACATTTATACCTATTGTTTTAAAATTCATACAGTTTTCCTAATTTTTCCGTGCATAAAATGGCCTTTTGTTTTATAATCTATACCATGCTAATTTTTCGCACATAAGGTAACCTTTCATTTTGTACAAAATAGAAGCATCAGTTACCTTAACAGACAACAGGTAAGATACAAATCAATGATTCGCGAATTTTTGTATACTTTTCACCTTCTAATAATAACATACACAGAGATTAATTTATAATTGTTACTAAATTTATATTAAATATATAATATTTTAATCCAATCACAAATGGTTCCTTTACTTTTTAACTTTTAACAGGAAGTATGTATAAATTATTCCCTATATAAACTAATTACATGGCTGTACATATATAATCATCTCAAAATTAAAAATAGTACGAATTAATTTGCAAACCATTAGCCCTTAGGATTTAAATATTACAAATTAATAATAACGAATTATAATAATTAACACAGAAGCTCTAATAAGCAATATTCATCATTATCCATGTAAGAACATAAACATACACTATTACGTATAATTTCTGTTCTCTGATTTGAATATGTTTCTTACTCAGAGACGAGCCGAATTTAATCTGGGATCACTTCGTGGAAACACCGAAAATGTTAACGTATCAATTGGCTTTGATCGTATCGGATCTCGAAAGCATCACACCCACGCAAGAAATCAATGAGATGGATGGTAGGAAGCTCGAGATTAAAGTGTGGGGTCGAAAGGAATACTTGGACTCTTTAAGGGACGTACCTAACAAGGTTGTCAAGATTATGAATTATTTACAAGATTACTTCAACAGCTCTATTAGTTTACGAAAACTTGACTTGGTAGCTGTTCCCTCGTATAATGCTGCTAAGGCGTCTGACAGATGGGGCCTGATGTTCTTCAAGTACGTATCGTTTTACTATTATCAAAGATAGTAAATTATGAAAAATATCTAGCTAATTTCTTTTTTATGTTTATAACAAAATACACGACAGAATTGATCTGTTTTACGATAGTGTGGTCATTCAAACCTATAAAACTGTTAATATTTTTATATTAACCCTTTGCACTCGAGAGGCGACCCTCGGTCGCCATTTAATCAGATTCTAAACATCGATGTTAATTAATATATCAAATTTAAAATTACCCAACGAAGTACTATTCGAAGTAAAATAATTCTACGTCTTAATTTGTATACGATTTCTTATTTGCCGTTTTAAAAATATCGTCGCCTTAATGGCAGAAAATCTTCGAATTACTATTTTTCTGTAACGAAAAAATCACCGAATGCAAGGGATTAATTCCTATTAATAATCCTTAACAGATATCATAAATATTATCAGAAGCTAATCTTTTCTTTAGTACATAGCTGAATTGATCTATTTTATAATTGATTATTCCCTAGACCTGGACAAAATTTCTTTTAAATAATAATTTAAAGATATTATTTATTTGTTAAATAATGTATTCCAGTGGATGTTATGTTTTTCATTTGGTCAATCAAATAATTAATTGGTGAATCGATCATTAGAGGAAATAAGGTTTATTTCTTAATTGAAAATTTATTTTTGAGACAATATCCGGAATAAGTATTGAACAATAACTATAGTTAGTAAGAAACAGTAATAATATAAATCTTTGAGACTACATGTCAAATAACAAATAATTTTTCTTGTGATGTGACAAATAAATCATTTAATTACTAATATATTAATTTACTTTTCACATGAAATAAATTCAGAAAAAAGTCATATTAGTTCAAAAATAGATTATGTTTCGTACAACATTGAAAAGTAATTTTAAAATAAAACTTGAAAATTCATCAAATGATCCAGGTTTACCATCTACAGCTCTGATAATATTAATGAAAACCGTATAATTAAAACGTACTTTTAAATATTAAACGTATAATTGAAAAGATATTTTCGCAAAAAATAATCTAACTACTATTATTGATACCTTCTCCAAAAATTTTACGTCTCAACATTATTCAAGTTCGTTGGAATAGCAATGTAACTTTCCACGATAATCGATTGTTCTCGAGAGAGGAAAGTTTTACTAGTAGAGTGCTTCCTGATATAATTTGTCTGGTGGTCCTATCATAGTTAACTATTGACATTCATTCATTTGAACTGTTCGATTAATTGTCTAAAAATCTGTATTAAAATATATACTAAACTTAATATGTCAGAAATATAATTCTACTCGAAGATATACAAAACTCGCAGGAAAAGAAATACAAATTTGCAAAGTTATTGCTGCTACATAAAATAGTTCTGCTTTATTTTTAAATACTCTGATAAATAATAGATTACGCATAATGATAAAATAAAAAACCAGAATAATCTCTGAAATCGAATAATTTCGCAGAAATTGCATTACAGTATGAATACTAAATATTTTTATTTAATGAAAACTAACAATATATAACTGCAATAGATATTATTGAATCGGTGTAAATTAATATAAGGTTTTAAATTTTTCAACCTATGTAAACTTACACTAATTCAATAATTCGTTATTCGCATAAAATATACTGAAAAATATGTTCTATCTGTCAAACAGAGTCAAATATATATTACATTTAATTTGTATTGCTATACATATTATA